AGCCTACCGTCAGGGCCATTTATTGTTGGGGCCGTCAGCTGCTAACCTTTCTCTCCAATGTAGTGCTTAGTGTTCTCGTTGAGCCCTTTGGATCCTCTTCAGTTAATAATAATAATCATCAATGAGACTGATCTTTCATCACGTCTGCTCTTTGATTCTGCTGGTAGCCTCTTCTTTAAAAAACCAAACTTGCTATTTCCTACACTTATTGGAACTAGATTTATGATTGCATTCCTTTATTTGCAAGACTTTATATTAAACGCACGTTATCTTTTATAATACAATACATGTTTATTTAAGTTGTTATGTCAGAAATGTTTTAAATACACGTGGTGTACGGACCAAAGGAAAGGACCTTCAAAAAAGGATTCTTTAGATAAGGGTCGTCTCTTTTGTATCAAACGTTGTAAATGGAATCGTAGCAATGAGACTAAAATTACTGTAAAATAAAATTAATCCCCCACCGATGCTTGCTAGTGTGTGTCTGTGTGTGTGGGGGGGGGGGTGGAGAGGGGCTACTGCTTCTACTACATAAATGCGGCAAGCCAACATGGCCGATGCATTTAGAAATATTTTATTTTTGAAGCCTGGTGGTTTGATTTCCATTGTTAGATGAAAACTCTAAAGATTATCAATCATGCACTTTTTAAGCATTTCGAGATGTTCTTATGTTCATAATTCGTACCATTACCACAATAAAGCTGAAATCAAAGATGCCAAGAGAGAAAAAAAAATAGCATTGAAGGATATGCGGTGTTTATTTTAAGCCTGTCTGACTTACCACCCCTTGGATGCCGCTACTGGTAAGTAATTTATTACATTTAAAGAGTTTATATTTTCCCTATTTGAACTATTCCAGAGATTTGACAGACAATGAGATACATGAAATTGAGGACGGGGCATTCGAGAAGGCGGACAAGCTGACAGATCTGTAAGTCACTTCACCGAAGAAAGTTGTATTTTTTTTAAAATGTTATTTAAAAATTCTCTAACACCTTCACATCTTGGTAAATTACCTAAGCTATTTATAAATTTCTGCATTAGTGAACAATAATAAATTAATACCTTTTGTTGTTGTTTTTTGTTTTTTTTTCTTTTTTTTATAAATTTGAAATTGCATTTACGTTATTATTCTTTTTAAAGAATGAAATTTCAAATCTCTCAGTTGTTAATGAAAATCTATATCTTCGAACTGTGTTCATGTTTCCAACTTTTTCAGGCAGCTTTCCAACAACGACCTTTCCCAGTTGTCTGGTAATGTTTTCCAGGGTTTAACCAATGTAAAAACTATGTAAGTTTTTTTTTTTTTTCAAATCAGTTTCATGTTACTTATCTTTCAAAGATTAATTCAGTACAATAACCTGACAATAGATTAGGTGTGTGCAATAACCTGACAATAGATTCTGTGTGTGCACAATAATCTGCCAATAGATTCTAGTGTGCACAATAACCTGACAATAGATTCTGTGTGTGCACAATAATCTGCCAATAGATTCTAGTGTGCACAATAACCTGACAATAGATTCTGTGTGTGCACAATAATCTGCCAATAGATTCTAGTGTCCACAATAACCTGACAATATATTATGTGCATGCACAATAATCTGCTAATAGATTTTGTGTGTGCACAATAATCTGCCAATAGATTCTGTGTGTGCAGTATAACCTTACATTAGATTCTGTGTTTGCACAATAATAGATTGTATGTGTGCACAGTAACCTGACAATAGATTCTGTGTGTGCAGGATGATGACTGAATCCATTTATACATGAAATAAAATTGTATGTGCATACACTATGCTTTAAAAGGAGTATGCCCATATTGGGCACATTTGCACAGCAGTATAGAAATGTATTTGAATATAATTATCTAAAAGAATGTGTTTGAGCAAACTTAAGTCTTATTTTCTGGCAAGGATACATTCCCATCATTCATTGCTATCATACATTGCCATCATACATTCTACTCATACATTTTCTTCATACATTCCCATCATACATTGCCATCATATATTTCCATCATACATTCCCTCAAAAAAGTCCCATCATACATTCCAATCAAAGAGGCCCATCATAAATTCCCATTATACATGATGCTTATTGTTCTAAGAATCCTGCATAATGTTATACTGGGGCTCCAGATAGTTTGTATAACTTTCGCACCACATCATTTATTTTATTACTGACATCTTTTTTAGCCAAAGAATATATGATCAGCCACCTCATTCTCTAGTGCAGTGTTTCCCAAAGTGTTGGGGTATGAGAAGAGTTTGGTGGGGGTACACGCTGCAAAGGAAAAAATAAATATTTTTTTTAATGGCTATTGAAGTATATGCAATTTTTTTTACGAGGGTTATTCTGTGTTACGAAAATTATAGACAGGGGTACACAGATGTCAAATGTTTGGGAAACACTGCTCTAGTGTAAAGCTTGCTGGGAGTTTTTTTACTCATTTAAAAATGAGATTCATAATTAATTACATTGTTCAAGTATGAGTTTGCACTCAGCTATTGACCATGATTCGGTGTTTTCAGAATGCTCAGAGGTAACAAAATTACATGCATCAACAATGTGACCTTTAGTGAGACACCGAGACTGAGACTCCTGTAAGTGTGTTTTCATTGAAATGTTATCTAGTACTCAAACACATTCAGCTCCCCTTGAGCTGCATGAACTCTTCTTGGTGTCCTGTAACTTAAAAAGCTCAACCTGTTTTCTGTTATAAAAATTAAATATGTATGTATATCAAATCCACACAATGCTTAAGAAGATCTCAACAAATGTCTTCGAGGGAACAACAACAAAACTGGCTGTATTGAGTGTCAGACGCTATGTACACCTTAGACTTGGGTGTTTCTGTTCACTTTATTGGGTGATATTTTGCTGCCGACAGTGGTAGTCTTGTTTTGAAGACAAAAAGGCAATAATGAATTAAAGAAGAACATTTGTTTTAAATCAGCAAATAAACTATTTATTATTTAGATTACTGGAAACAGTTTAGCTAAACTGGACAGCACACTGTTTAATTAAACTGAGACTTCAAAGTTTGGAGCAGAAAGGATATTTTTAATTATTTTCATTATTTACTTTTTTAGTGGTGGAATATGCCAAGGTAAAAAAAACAATGCACTATAAATTTTGGTTTTGCTTTCTAGAATACATATAAAGATTTTTTCAACAGATTTTATTTGTAGTATTGATCTACTAAAAAAAATATCTTTTCAGGAACCTTCCCCCCCCCCCCCCCACAACCCACCCCCCCCACCCCCCCCCCCCCACAAAAAAAAAAAAAAAATTCAATATGTTGAAATTTTCGAAGAGTGGACCCCCCCAAACCAACCCATCCCCAACTCTCAACCCTCAAAAGAAAAATAAATAATTACCATCCATTTACAAATGCCAATACCTATATTTTTGCATTTTAAAATACATTAATTATGTTTGATTATGATTTTCTTTTTTTTTTTAAAGAACATGTATTATAATAAACTTGAGAATAATTTATCAGTCATAAGATTTTATTTAATGGGTCCATTTATTTTAAGATTTTAAATAATTCTTCATCTAAAGACATAGGCCTACTCTTTTTTATCTCCCTCTTCAGGTCATTGTATGACAATCAAATCAGATGTATTATGAAAAGTTCCTTTGATCGACTGCATTACCTTTCAACACTGTAAGTTTGTTTTTTTGTTTTCTTTTCTTTAACCTTTTATTGTGTGTGTGTGATTCCTTTGATTTCCTCTTCCCTTGTGGTGGGAGTAAAAAGGTACAATGTTTCACCCATTTGTCTGAGCTTGATGCTCCGAGTGTATTTCTCTAAGAGTTTGTGTAAAGGTTGTTGGTATCTGCATTTAGCTGGTATTATGGGAAGCATATGTTGAGTGGGAATTCCAGCTTGTTATTTTTGTGTGCTCACATTCAAAAGGGGGTTGGAACAACTGCTGACTGGAGGCTTGCAATCTGTAGAAAACATTGTTTTGCACACACAACATGACATAAGGCCTAATATTGCTATTTTTGTTTTTAGTAAAATAAATTTGTTTTTAAATATTTAAGAGCTGATGAGTGCAAGCAGATGTCTTAAGGTGTATAATAAATATCTCAACTTGAAATGTCTAGATCTATGTTGCATTTATGCTAATATAAACATCTTTAGTATAGCATAATTAATTCAACCAATGCATTTAGCTTCTTCATCTATTAATAATATAAATGTAAACATATTTATTTTATAGTTATTATTGCTTTTGTTTAATTGGGTTGTACTTGTGATATATGTGATAGTCAACTAATTGTGCCATATCATTTCTGAATTATTTCATTTACAATATTCAAATGGTTTGAAAATACAAAAGTCTTTAATTTAATAAAAGGTTTTAAAATATTTCTATCAGAAAATTTTCTCTGTTCTGAGTTGAGTAAACTGATGTCTTTTGTCTATGTGCTTGATTTTAATTTTTGTTGGGCTTTAAAATGATCATCATCATTTTTCTACAACATAGCATTGTTCATAAACAAATTAGTTTTACTGCACTATGATCTTTTTTTCTCTCTACTTTTCCTTTATTCCTGTCTGAGATCACAGAATCATCTTGGTAATTTTGAGTTAATCATTAGAAGAATTCTTATGATCATCTCTAAGTACTGTATTGCTTCCTCTAGAAATCTGATGTCCAATCCTTTCAACTGTAACTGTCACCTAGACTGGCTGGCTGAGTGGCTCAAGAAAAGAAATGTCATCACTGGCACACCAACTTGCTCAGCCCCACATACTGTAAAAAATACACCTATTCAAGACCTTGCAGTTAAAGACTTTATTTGTGAAGGCAAGTTTATGAAAGATCACAGATAAAGAAAGTGTCTTAACTGTTTATGAAAAAGTTAAAGGAGAATTCCCTTTGAAGTTGTTTTGCCACTTTCTTAATTTCTGACATTAAAAAATGTAAAGAATAGTAAAAAAATATAAGTTTGTAAAATGTGTTTAAATTTGTCATTGCAGAGAACAATGATCTTGGTTGTCATGTTGGCATCCAGCCTTGCTGTCCAGACAGTAATATGGGTAAATTTTTATTCATGCTAATTAAAGTTCTTCTGTACAAATATTATTATATATATTATATGTATTGGGAACCAAAACTAGAAGGAAAAAATGTGTCTTGCATTTTAAAAAAAAAAATTTAAACTGAATTCATCTGATAGGTTTGCTTTGGCAAACAATGTCATGAATACATTTACATTTTTTTTACTAATAAATGCTACATGTAACCCAAAATAAAATTTTTAAAACCTTGGTGATAAAACATTAAAGGTGCATCCAATTGGCGCAGTTCTAATTATTTTTTTTATTTTTTATTTAATTTATGATGGCAACTATAACTGTAGGTATTATCTTTCAATCTGCAATTAAAAAAGCAATGTTTGCATAAAATAACTAATGGTATTTCAATGACACATTATTTGACCTAATGTCTTTCCTCCTCACATTTTAGTTTGATCCTGTAATTATTGAATTAATTTCAGTCGTTGTTGAAAATAGTTGTGACCCAAGAGCCTACTGTCCTCCTAAATGCACATGTACCAGTACTATTGTAAGATGTAGTGATCAGCAAATAAAGGAGGTTCCAAAATACATTCCACTAGATACTACAGAACTGTAAGTCTTATGAGAGCTCTATGCAAATGCCTCATTTTTTAGAATCCTTACAATTATTATGGGCTTGAGACTTAGCACTCATTTGGAGAAAACTTGTTGGTTAAAAATTTTACCTTTTTATCTTAATACAATTAGAATATTGCTATTTTATTCAAGTTTGTAAATAGTTAACTTACTCTTCTAAAGTTTATAGTACAAAAATGTTCTACTTAAAGAATTCACACATGTAATAATATTTCTACGCAGTTATCTTGATGTTAATGATATAACCCAAGTACCTTATGAAATTGGTCTTTTAACAAATTTAAAAAAATTGTAAGTATAATAGGCTACATTTTTGTATATTTTTTTTATTCTTGTCAACAACATGTACAGAGCAAAATGAATTAATAACACATGTATAAAGTATAGGCCTACAACAAATTTTTGTTTTTTAATTACTTAAGTGATAATGATATGAAGAAAACAAAACAAGTTGTTTTATTACACAGAAAAAAACACATCTGATTTTTTTTTTAAAACCTAAATTTATTGCTAATACTCACTTTTATATTATTTTCCAGAGATCTGAGCTACAACAAAATAGTAACTTTACCTTCACAGATCTTCTCCAATCTTACTCAACTAGTAACATTGTGAGTCAAAATAATTATATAATTTTCTCATATCATTTTTTTATAGTGTTTTTTGACTTGGAATACATTTAAATTTATTTACAATATTTACTTATTATCTATTTATTATTAAAAAACATGTTTATTTCTTTAATGAAGACACTAGCTATTATATTTAAAGAATCTTACTATATTTCTAATTGCCCTAATTTAATTCAGAAAATGATGTTAACTATGCTGGTCTCCTCCATTTTCCGTCTAATAATTTAACTAAAAAATTATTTTTTACCCCACAGAATTCTGAGCTACAATAATCTTCAATGCATATCAGAAACAAGTTTTTCTAACATGCAGAATTTAAGAATGCTGTAAGAATTTTTTTATTAATACAAAATAGAAATTTGCCCATTCTCAGTCAATTTATCTTATCCATAACTTTGTGAACTGTGATATAGCTAACATAGAGTAGTGCACTAGCCTCCCTTCCACAATCACCCAGTTAAAGGCATTTAGATTAGGGAGCAGCTTTTTCTAAGGATAATAAATGAAGTACTGGGTTCCTTGTTGTCCTGTCTTTTGATTCAGTCTTCCACATACCTTATTTTACTATTAGCTTTTTCTAAGTAGCTTAAAAGATTTGATAATTCTAAATTCTTGCTTCTCCTTTAATAAATATTTTCAAACCTGGCTACTGGTTTAACTTAGCATGGTTGTGCAATGCCAAGTTCACCTGTATATTATTTTCTATCAACTGATGCATTCCTATTTTGCATGCAGGCTTATTTGTTTGGGAGATCTGAATATTGCAATAGCAACCTAAGTTATATCAAGGAAACAAATTTGAACTCATATTATTCTTACAGATTATTTTCATTTTTTAAATCTTTGTTATTCAATACCATCCAAAAGTAAGTCCCAATATGTTGTTTTTAAAGGTATTACTTAAAATGTTGGCATATTAAATCAAGAAATTAAATACAAAATATTTCCCGTAATCAAATTTACTTTTCTTTCAGATCTCTACACGAAAATAATTTATCTTCTATCCCATATGGTGCATTTGACAGTCTCAAATCTTTGTCACAGATGTAAGTGTTACAATATTAGAAAATGCTTATTAAAGAATCTGAGATAAGTTGTAGATTTAATGAAAGGGTTATGTTATAACCAAATGTGCTAATGTCTGAATCAACAAATATATATTTTAACACATATTTTTTCTTCTTTAGAGCTATGGGAGGCAATCCTTTATTCTGTGATTGTAAGCTCAAATGGCTGTCAGACTGGATTAAGCGTGATTATCTTGAGCCTGGAATTGCTTCTTGTAGTGGACCTGCATCAATGAAATCCAAGCTTTTACTAAGCTCACCATCATCATACTTTGAATGTCTTGGTAAACATTTAAAGAGATTTCTCTTCTTTTTTTTCTTGTTAGATATTAATTATTTACAAAGTAAAAATAAAAATAAGAAGAAAAAATTCATGTTTTTGACTTAACTAATTTGTTCATATATTTTTACAGAATTTTTTGGACTTGTATATAAAAATGTATTTGGTCATGTATCAATGAAAACTCTATAGCCTTCAAATTTTATTGATAATGGGATTACTTGATGTTGCCAAAGAAAATTTCTTAGAAAAATTATTGCAGATTTGACTTGATAGCTTTACGTAACTAGGAAATGCTAACATTTTGGATGTGTTAGATTATTTTATACATTAATTTAACTTTATTAATGTTTTTAATGTGACAGTGATTATACTTGTAATGCCTTTGATTTATTCATGTATCAAACAACTGATACTAAAATAACTGGTGCTGTGAACATATTTTCAAAAACAAATTCTCACCTTTTAGGAGACCCAGATCCAATAGTTGCACAAAAGTGTGATGTCTGTCTCACAAATCCTTGCAAGAATGGAGGGAAATGTACAACAGTTGAATTCAAAAGTTTCAAATGTGAATGTTCACCTGGTTTCCATGGGGATGAATGTGACCAACAAATAGATGCTTGTTTTGGAAACCCTTGCAATAATGGTGGGAAATGTGAAGTTATGGAACATGGAAGATTCAGGTAACCTAGTTTAAACCAAGAATATAATGATGAATTATTACATTAAGGTTTAAAAAGAGTATGAAATTGAAGACCCTAGTGCTAAAAGTACTTAAGTCACATTTTTGACATAAATCAATCTAAACTGTGACCTTTTCTTATCTGGTTTAGCCAAGTTTACTGCATTTGAATACATTAAATGTGCCTAATTCCCTTATTTAATCAAGACAAAATTTGAAATGATCACCTTTTATAGATGAAAAGAATTTGTACTTGTTTATCTCATAATGGTTATATTTTGTGATTTAAGTACTTTTAGCACTTAAGTCTTCAACTTTATTTATTTTTTAAATCCTTTATATTAACTTTGCTTTTGTTAGTGTGTTTCATTCTTTGTGGCAATGGACAAAATCTTTGGAAGGCTAATTGGCTCACTTCCCATCATCCTATCTAGCTGAAATTCTGCACATAGACTTGTTGCGAATGGCAACACATTCTTTAAAATGTTCAGCTCCACCCCCGCCATTAGTTTTTCCTGCTTTTCAAGGGAAAGCTAATTGATCCACCCCCATTATCCTATCAAGCTGAAACTTGGAACATAAACTTGTTGCCAATGACAACTCATTTGATCAAATTTTCAGCCCCACCCCTAAAATTCATTTTTTTCCTTTTTTTCAAGGGAAGATGAAGGAAATATAGTTCAATGACCTTTTAGCTACGTAGCCATCTCTAAGTCCCACAATATTGCATTAAACAGTTTTGGGGTAAATCCACAAGTTTAGCAAACAAAAATGGAAATAAAAGATTTATATGAAAAACTTTGTTTTTAAGGGTTGGTTTTAATTCTTGTTTATATTTGATTTAACATTTTGCAACTAACAGATGTCAGTGCCTCAAAGGATTTGAAGGAGACAGGTGTGAAACAAATAAAGATGATTGTGTCACTCACAAATGTCTTAACAACGCTACATGTGTGGATGAGATTGAGTCCTATTCTTGTAGATGTAAAGAGGGTTTCACAGGTATTAATTTTTTTTTTATATATTCTGGTATTTGACAATAATATGGAAGCAAAGGATTTTTTTTGTAATTGTCTAGCTTAATAGCATCAAAGTTCAAATTTTTCTATCATGTATTAAGAATAAAGAATTAATTAAATATTATTGTATTAAATAATCTTTAAATCAGTGTGCTTGACATATTGAAATGAAAGTTTTTGTTGAACTAAAATTATTTGTTTATTAATGTGTTAAATTAAATGAAGATAAATATTTTGTACCTGTTATACTTAATTTTAGGAAAATGGTGTGAAAATCCAATTCCATATTGCAAAGAAGGGTTTAATTACTGTGTCAATGGTGCGGTTTGTGTTGCTAAGACTGCAGGTTACAGGTAAGCTTAATAAATGTAGAGTTTAATTAAAACAAATTAAAACTGAATTTTATTATTTTCAAAACATTCTTAATTAGCCTGTCATAATCTTCAGTTCTTGTTTTATTTGAGAATATATTTTTTATTCATCTAAAATTGGTTGTTTTTCATTTTAAAATATTGTGGTTTTAGAAAATCAAGTAAAATCTTAAAGTAGTACTATAGAGTAGAGTAAAATCTTAACAAATAATGTAAATATGTGTATACTTTCAATAACTTCTGTAAAATTACCTATCATTAGTTACTGCACTCATTGATGTAAGAAGACTATTAGTTAAGCAAGATTTTATTTAAATTACCGAGGTAATGAAAATATTCTATTTTGAAACTTGTATCACACACTAGTTGTCACTAATTTTCTTAATTTTTGCTTTTGTACATTTAGTTGTGAGTGTGCTCCAGGTTACACTGGTAAAAACTGTTCAGAAAACATTGATGATTGTAAGTCACATGCCTGTCTTAATGGCGCTTCATGTGTAGATGGCCTGGACTCGTACTCATGCATGTGTTCCCCTGGCTTCTCTGGTCGCTTTTGTGAGATAGCACCACTCCTGGACTTAGTGCCACTACCTAATTCACAGGACACTGCACCAGCCTGCCGGTTGCACGAATGCCAGAATAACGCAGTGTGCTACCAGCCGGCGGGTTCTCCTGATTATAAGTGTAAATGTCCGCAAGGTACTAAACTTAGCAAAGCAGCTTTTTATGTACATTAAATAACTCATTACAAGAAAATGGAAATAACTCTCTGCAAGCGATATCCAAGGAAAATTATTTTTTATCACTTTCTATTATTTATTGTTCGCTAGATCCTAAATTATAAACATAAAATGAAACATCACAACTAAACAATATGTTAAAGCATAAATTTTGATTGCAGTTTTTTTCTAATTAGGGTCTTTTGTTATTTTTTTTATTTATTCACTAGGTGTCTCTAAGCTTTCCGTCTCTTTTTTTAAAAAAAAGGCCTATACTCCATTCTTCAAAAACATTATATTTACAATAATTAGACACAATTTTTTTTTTAAATCAGTAATCTACATTTATATATCCTTCAGTATTTGTTTAGATCCTTTAAGCTTGAGACACCTTTAGGTTTACTTTTAAACTAAAATGTAAGTCTACTCTAAAACAAAGAATATCATCACTATATTTTTTAAGAAAAAGAATTAAAGTATGTTTATTTATAGTTCAAGAGGACAGATGGGATGGTTTAAAAAGAGAAATGACGTAACTTTAGAATATGTACCAGTATTAAGTTAGATCAGAGACAACCATTTTTTTTTCTAATTTTTTTACCTGTTGGCAATGTTATTGTTGAAGAAATTCATCTTTATCATTCAAGACCAGTAAGTAAATTTATTTAAAGCTGTAATTACATTCAAAGCTGTGATAGTGTAGCTAGCATCACAAATGCATTGCCTAGATGTTATTAAGTTTCGTTTTGTACAGCTTACTTACAAATTCAAATTCATTAGCCAATGCCTCCTACTCATAAATAAACGTGTTAAAATCATAATGCTTTATATGAACCTTAACTAATGCTTCAGTATAAACCATGGTAAAGCTTTATGTTGTACTTATGTTTTAATTTAAATATTAGGCCCTAAAGCCTATTCGATATTTTATTTCAAATTTTATTTTATTTTTAAACTTCATATCTGATGTAATTAAAGAGAAAATGTGAAACCCTAATATTTGTTAATAATCCAATTCCCACAAATTTCTAACACATCAACAGACTCACAAAGAGAAAGGTAGACATACACGGAGATATAGATTGATATATTTTTTTATTCTAAATTGTGGAAATACTTTCCTTGCAATAATACAACCAGGACTATAATTAAATACAATAATCCAAGTATATTTAATTTATATAACTTTAAATTCTCCAATTTACAATCTTAAATAGTTGACCTAATTAGTAAATAATTGAGTCAAAAGTGCATGCATAAATTGTCATAACTCCTTGTGACCTAGTCTTTAAAAAATGTTACTATTTGCATGCATCAGATGGGTAATTACCAGCAATTTATAATGAAAAAATTAGGACTAGGCGTACTAGATAAATGCTAGTTAGTGATTTTATATTATTTGTTGACCATGAAGAAATACTTTTTGTCACAAACTTTATGCTCAGTTAGTGTAACTTGTTTTCACATCACTTGTACACTTTAAGTATTGACACTATACAAATCAGTCTTGCAGTGATTTTTTAAAAAATTATTTTACTTCAATATTTTGCTAGTATTAAACTTAAACTTAAACCTTCCATGCAAATTTTTCATCAGGCTGATTTTAATTTTGTTTAAAAAATGGATTTAAATTTTTAAAGTTCTGCCATTTATTTTTCAGGTTTTGAAGGCAAGAAATGTGAAAAATTGACAAGTGTTTCATTCAAGGACAGAGATTCTTATGTTAGGCTGCCAAGAGTTGATTTCCGCCAGGAAACAAACATCTCAATAACATTCTCAACTAAAAGCCATAATGGCATTCTGCTTTATGCTGGGGAGCAGCAGCATGTAGCAGTGGAACTCTTCCGTGGTCTTATCAAAGTTAGCTTTGATGTTGGCAATTATCCAGGGTCCACCATGTTCAGCTTTGAGAGGGTAGACGATGGACAGATACACCAGATCACAATGATTATAAACCAGAAGAATTTTACAATGATCATTGACAAAGTTAATAATTCCCATACTATTATTAATGAAGGATCAAAGACTCATTTGGATCTCCATGATTCTCTATACCTTGGTGGACTGCCCAGTGCTATCAATGCTCAGGCTTTTAAAAAATGGCATATCAAAGATAGTAGCAGCTTTATAGGTTAGTTAAAAGTCACCACTAGCACAATTAACTAAGAAAAAGTATAGCAAGACATCTTTGAAGTGTGGGCAGGTGATTTTCTACAGGGAGGGAACAACTTTATTGAATTTTATCAAATTCGTTTATTGAATTTATCAAGTCATTCAAAAATCTAATCCATCTCAGTAAATCATAATAACAGATAATGCTTTTTCAAACATACATTTTAAAAAAAAATTATATTGTGAATGTTTCATGCTGGTCAGCTCTATAAAAACTGTTGTTTTCAGTTTAGGGGGAGAATTAACAAATTATTAAATTATACTGATGTTGTCTCTAAATTTCATTTGGAGATAACCAGAGCTCTGTAATTAAAACAAAATATTAATCAATGGTATTTATGTCAAATCAATTTTTATTCAATTTTTTATTACTTTTTGGCAGGCTGCTTCTCAAAAGTTTATATCAATGGCAAACAAGTTGACCTGCTGAGTTCACATGAACGATTCAAGGTCATACCTGGTTGTGAAACTCCCAGTCAAGATCCTTGCCACAATCACTTATGTCAACGGGGTAAATGTAAACCAAGACGCAGAAAACCTGGTTATCGATGCAAATGTAATCATGGCTACTCTGGAACTTATTGTGACAGAGGTAAGTTATATCAGCTTTCTTATAAGTTTATCGTGGCTGTCACTGTTGTCATTGTTATTTCTCTATACATCTTCCATTTTGTACTGTGAGAGGTGATATATTTTTTATTAACCCTTAGAGGCATTAACTTTTCAGTTTACTAATTGTTAAATAAAACAAACTCAAAGAAATCTAACTTTTTTTTTTCCTACTAATCCATTTTTTCTCAAACTATAAGTACTAATTAACTTTTTAAAAAGTGTACTCTACATTTTGGCTACTAATTTTATGCATTAAAACTGCAACACTAAACCTCTAAGGATTAATTTTTTATTTTCACCCCATAGTACAATTTGGTGTAAGAAGGCCTGTACAAGAAGATGGCTATAGTCGCCTAAAGACTTTTGGGCTCTAACTTGGGTTCTCATCAGTTGCAATTCTAAGTAAGGTAGTTATTTGTTTTTTTTTGTTTTTTTTTGTGTATGTGATATAGATTAACACCAAAAAATGAATTTTATTCAAATCCTGAAATTGTTATCATTTTTCATCTAGTCCATTTTTTAATATGTATAATTACAAATATGTTTTATTGTTACAGGTTAATGCACTATTTATTCAACTCAGTAAATAAATCCTTCAATTTCTTTTTGTTATTTCTTTCCAATATAGTTTCATCTTGCAAGATTGTCATGTTCCACGATCATTTCATTGATCCTACAACTAAATGTAAATCTAGAACATTGATCAAGTTTCGGCGTTGTGAAGGCATTTGTCACAATGGCTATTGCTGTAATCCCAAAAAAATTAAAAACAGGAAAGTTCGCTTGTATTGTAATGACAAGACCACTTATGTCCATGATTTGCCAATTATTAGGAAATGTGCATGCAAGAAGTGTGACAAGAAGAAATAATTCCAAAGAGGGCATAATATGAAAGGCTTGTGTTTTTTTAATTTATGTTTATTATATAAACATGTGTATATTACAATTTTCAGGATGATGAAAAACATTTTTAACTCTGGGGTCTCAAATCACTTAAAGAACCTTATAAGGGTAATCTTGATGGCCCAGAGGCTCATCACACTCTCATGTTACTATTAAGCATTGTATCGTATAAAGTTTGTGACACCCATTATTTTCAGAACACAGAAAAAGGTTTAGAAGGCCTCTTCAACACCTTTGAGCATGACTTTGAGGCCACTGGTCTTTACCCCAATCAGACATAAATCAGAAAGGAACAATATTATTGGCTATTGTCGATAAGTGACTACTGTTTCTGTTGTGATGATTTGCTGGACTTGAAAAATTTATAACCTTCATTAAAATTAAACATATATTGTTGAAAATTGTAAACATGCTGTCTATTTACATCCAGATGTTTAGAGAAGTTTAAATGTTTCTAGTGATTAATTGTTTTTCTTCTTTCCCTTGTAGCGTTCAATACTAAATCTTTTTAGTGGAAAACAAAAATAATGTAGCAAAAAACCTAATAAAATGTGTTGTGCAATATTTAAATATGTGAAAATGTTCCTAGTTCTAAGCAAAATCATAATTTTTTTTTAAAGTTGAAATTAGAAAATATTTATTTATGTGGTGGCCAATAGAATAAAAATGGTATATTAAATATTCAACAAAATTAATTTTTGAAGACAGTGGGCCTCCATAATAGTTTAATTTCATACCTCATCATTTCAATCTATCAGCCATGGACTATATACAATTATTTAATGATATTGTAAATTAGCTATAAATATCTTAAGAAGAATCGTTTATGTATGGGATGCCAGAGATGTTTGCAAACCAACTAAATTTTAGTACTTTATACTTAGATTTTGTGTCATTTTATGAGTCATAATTCCATCTGTAGATCTTAGATCCATTATTCAAATTAAAAGTCCTTACCTTTTGTAGACTAAACCCAGCATTGAATAGAATTTTTAAAAATTAGGAAGCAAAGTGTGTTCAGATGAATAGTCTTCAAACAAATAAACTACCTCATGAAATTATGTTGATTAAACCAAAGTTATTTTTTGTGTATATCATCTGCATGTTCCTCTGTGCTAAAGTGATTACGTTTGAACTATTAGTGATTTTTGTTTCTTTTAAGATCCCATGTCATTCCTAAAAATAACAATAACAACAAGTGTCTACTGTACATATTAAGTGTGTATAAATTGTCTACTGGTGCAACATTTCTGAAGAAATTTGTATCAACTGAACATTTTTCTGCTAGAAAGCTACTGAACATGTTCTTTGCTCCTAAAATGTAGGCCTATCCAGTAATTTTTTTTCCTTCTTTTGTTGTTTTTTTTGTTTGCATTAGAAGGCATTCAGCAGGAGCACCCATGCTCTTGTTTTGTTCCAAATTTCAAGCTTTCACTTTTGTTAACACAGCTAATTAAAAGAAAGTTCAAAGTAATCTGTGAAATATGAAATCACAGATTATTCCTTTAACAGTTGTACTCCATTTAATTTCCTCCATTTAAAGAATGAATTTGCTAAGATAAATCAAGTACCTGTGTTCTTAAATTGTATGATAATCAAAATAAAGTGCACATTTAAATGTTATTAATTTTTATTTGGATATAAAAAGGGATAGCTGTTAAATTTAAAAAAATAAATATAGTTGTGCACATTTGACTATTAGATTTTTTAAATGTTTTTTTAGTAGTTTAAAAGCATTTCACAACCATTCTGCTATATATATATGAAGTCATCTTATTTTGTTTCCAATATTAAGATTGGATATATTAGCAACTATAATACTAAATAATTCTTAATGATGCCCACTACTTGAATAATGAACTAAACTGGTGCTTTGCAAATAGCTTTAACATCCACTGATGATGCAAAGAAATGTTAACTGGATGTTGTTGTGTACACAGATACTTAATCTGCTGTGCTCTACAGCTCTAAAAACATGTTGATTATGTATCTTCACTTGCTTTTATACTGAACTGATAGTTTTGAAATTTGAATGCATTTGAATAGTTTCAGATTCAACATGTCTTTCTAGAATATTAATAACTTTGAAGAATTTATTGCAGAAGCTTTCCCACCTATAATTCTTAGGGATTATTGACTTAAATGATTTACAATAGTGTTTTCCAACTGAAGGGATGTGGTGCAAATAGAATTAAAAATGTTCTTCTACATCAAAAATAGGACTTTGTAACAATACTGAATTTTGTTTTTTTTTAAGTTTCAAAGCCTGATGTCAAAACAGAAACATTTACACTGATCCAACAGATTTTAATAAGATGCTCCAGTTCATTCTAGGATCAAGAAGAGCCTGCGTTAAATTAATGTAACTACTTTTAATAGATTTATATCATAAATGTGCTATAAATTATTTCTTTTAGTGGTTTTATTTAAATATAGATAAAGTAAAAAGTATTCATTAAGTTAGATGAAAATGTTTATTCTAGCTCATATGCTTATGAAAAGTTAAGAGATAATTTAATCTTTTTTAAACCATCAATGTGGATTCTAGGAACATATGCACACACAAAGAAATAATAACTCAATATTGAAATTGAGATACAGCCGTAATTTTTTATTTTAAGTTAAAATATTATTTTTTTAAGAATAATGTTTATTCTGTCCTAGATTCATTTATCACATAAAAATTGTATTTTATTAGTGCATCATCCAGATTGTATTTTTTTTTTTAAATAAACAACATGCTTATTCATTATTTCATTAGCTTTGTCATTGATTTAATTGGCATATATGTTATCTTATTCAGTGTCTTATAAAATCTTGTAATTTTTAGAAATACTCTTATGGATATGTACTTTTTAAAATATTATTACATAAACCTTATTTCAACTTTATAGACATGGCTATATATCATGTTAGGTGTTACAATGCCAAAGTTTAATGTTTTCATAACAAATGTAAATAATTACCTTGTTTCATGTACAGAAGAACTAAATAATACATCATTGACTTGTAGATTTCATAATGTTATATATTTATTTTTTATTGATTAGATGTATGACATGGTACATATATGTATATAAATTTATAATATGATAATTATGTGATACAAACTTAATATGAAGGTGTGTGCTTGAAAAGTTTTGTTATTTATCATTTTTTAAGAACATCAAATCTGTTTATTTATTTCTGTAATCAACTGAGAAAAAGAAATGTGTGTTTCATTTAAGGCAAACATTAAATATCTTGCCTTCAATTTCATAATATTGAGATTCATTGCATTAATGTGGTTCATAAAAGATATGCTGCTGCAAATAACTGACTTCACAAATAGTACTGTAGCTATTTCTCATCCTTTATAGTTAGCCAATTATTAAATGAATAATAAATAGGCCAAGTAATACATTTAAGACTTCATCTTTTTCTTTTCTAAATTAAAATAAAAAAGATAAATTTGTTTGTACCAATGTAATCTATCAGTGTTTTATTGCTTGAGTATTTCACTAGACCTGGGTAAAGATATAATTTTATAGACACAAACAAATAATTTTGTCACCAGTTACAAACCTTTTAGCTTATAAATTAGAACTTAATTAATGGGGCCTTATGCATTTGCCTTTGATTTGTTTCATATCTCCACAGTATTAATTTACACTATTTTAACTTTTAACTATTAGCACAATCCTAGGAAGCTTAATTATCTTTTTTTTTTTTTTTTTTGTCCTATCTTGTACTATTCAAAATTTTTAGTTTAAAAAAAAAAAGGATAAATTTCAACATTCAACTTTGCATTTATTTTTTAACATACAATGACTAAAACATAAAAATATTTAAATTATGCATCAACTCTTAGGCATGGATATTAATTTTTTTTTTTTTTTTTTTTGTCCTATCTTGTACTATTCAAAGTCTCTAATGTAAAAAAAAAAAGGATAAATTTCAACATTCAACTTTGCATTTATTTTTTAACATACAATGACTAAAACATAAAAATATTTAAATTATGCATCAACTCTTAGGCATGGATAGACATTAACAATTATTACATTTGACTTCTCTTGAAAATACACTAATGAATAGATTAAATTATAATTTTTAAGAATATTTTAGCTAATCAGATGCAATAATTTAAATTATTTAAGTTTTTAAATTTTTTTGTGGTTCTATAATATGTTTGAAAATGTTGTCATAATTTAGTATTCCTATATTTTTTTGGTTAAGTGTTCTGCTATGTCTTATTTCTTTTTAAAATGTATTTCATTTTTACATAGGATTAAAAAAGTTCATATTGATGATTGTATCATCCTCATTAAAATAATTTTATTTTCTCATGTTAAGATCTAATTTTCATTAAATTGAAATTTTCTTTTTTTAAACATGTTTAAGATTAAAAGTCATATATAATAATATTAATCTAATATACCATGTGTGGCTTGCAAACCAAAGACAATTACTGCATTTAACTTTACCATTA